GAGGGAAAATCTGAGAACCGGCTATATAAGGGTGGAAATATTAATAGCTGACGTTATATTATTCCGCTAATGAAACAGTAAACAAAGGAGACTTTAATTTACGATTCTTGAAATTTAACTTTTTCTCGGAAACACTCTCATTTTTTTATCAGTACTTTTAAACGTACATTTTTTTCTATATTTAAAAACTACTTTCGCCCTTTAATATAATTGTAATTACATTCCGAATAAAAATGATTTTTTTTCCCATAAGTGTAAGTAATAAAAAATAATAAAATTAATATTATTATTATGAGCGTATTAGAGAAAGAGAGGATAGTTATGGATTTATATTTAATGAGCATTTTCTAAAAGTTACTCTAACGAGTTTTAAAGTAGTATCCGGAAATCCGTGCGCTCGAAAAGTGGAGGACAAAAAACTTAAAAAGAACATTAAAAAAATACCATTTTTTTTAATTTCGTTTCTATTTTCCACAATTTTAAAGATGATAAATAGAAATTAAATTCTAATAAAGATTGAGCTAAATAGCAAAGTTTTAAACTTTGTTACTTAGCAAAGTTTTTAACTACTTTAATTTTAAGAAATTCAGAGCAATTCTTCGATTCGATTAGGCAAAATATTCAAATTTTACTATTATTTTCTAATTGTAGGTCCCGATCAAAGAAAAATTAATAATTTTAAGGACTAAAAATCTTTGTCCACAAATCGGAAACACCTTACAATTTTTGGAGAAATATTCTCGTAATCTTTACAAAAATACAAAAGAAATTATTATTTTTTTTAAATATAGATTTTCTTAAATAAAAAAGTGGGTGTATTTTTTCGGATAATGTTGCGAATGATTGGAAAATTATAGTGTGGTTTCTTATATCGAGAGTAATTATTTTTATCTATTTAATTATCTGAAGGGCTCTTTCTTTGGACCCTTGATAACGTCATAAAGTCTTTTAAAAGCTCTTGATATATTAAATCGTGAGTCCTCATTTCGACTAATTGAAGACTATTGATATTTTATATCTTCCAAAACTGATCTTTTTTATTGCGAATAAAACTCGAAAAAAATTCTTCTAATTAATTTTTATTTTCTTAAGCAGATAGTTTCAAAAGTTTTCATTTTAAAATCATCGTTTTCTTCCTTCCATTGAGTATTCGGATTTCTAATTTTCTAATTAATCATCTAATTCTAAGCAGATGAAAATAAACCAATGTTAAATTTTTTAATTTTAACAAATTTTCTATTGTAAATATTGTTTTGGCAATTAAACAATATTTTTATTTTCCCTTTTTGATTCGTATTTCATTGTTGAATTAGAGCACTCTACTTTGTTTTCAATGAAAAACATAAAAGTAGAAAACATTTTTTTAAAAAATATAAAGTCATTGTTACATTTAGTCTCGAGTTTCAATACTTTTAGCTATATGGTTCGATGGGATGATATAATAATACTAACATATATAATAAGAGACGAAAATCAAAAGTAGAAAGGCGACTTTTACGCGAATTGGCTGAAAGAGTTATTTATGATTCGAAGAGTGTTAATATTTTTAAAGCTCTCTCACGGAATATTGAGAACCTTTTGTTCCAGGTTATAAAGGAGAAAATAATATCAAACATAAGAGCTACAAAATTTTATTGCTCTCTTCGCGAGATAATATTAAAAGTTATTATATTTACTTTCTTAATAAATATTTTCCTATCGCTATTTATTAATTTCATTAATTTCGTTGGAAAGTAATTTTAAAGTATTATTGAGAAATATTTTCAAATTATTATTATTATATTAGTTTTATTTCTTTCGAAAATTAAATTCTGCTTCGATATTGCGGAAAATTTAATAATGGATTATCGCGGAAATAATATATATTTCGCCTTTGGAATGAGATCCTTTTGGAAAATAATTGTAGAAATATTCCATTGGATAGGAATTATTTCGTTTGATATTTTTCTGGTGATACTTTAATTTAATTTCTAAAAATTGTTTCCATGCAGTATTCAATTCTATTCAATAAATTCAAGATTAAATCTTAATACTATTAGATTATTAATTAATGATATTAATAAAATAAAAAAAATAAAATTAATGATATTATTATTTTTGGTCTGAGAGGAAAATTCCTCTTCTAAAATCCTCTTAAATTTTATCTCTTCATCGAAGAGTATTTCCTCTCATTTTAAGAGAAATAAATACTCTCAAGTACTTTTAATTATTTTAAGTAAAAAATAATCCTCTTAAAATAATAAAGAGGATTCTTTTGTCATATAAAATTTGTTTTCACAGACATTTTAAAATTTTCTTTTCCGCAGTATTCCAGAAATGCTAAGAAAAATACTTGCCCGCGTCATTAGTAAGGGCTTTTTTTATTATTCTTTCATTCGTCATTTATTCGAGTTGTTGAATAATCGTTGTTTAATTTCAACTCTTAAGTGTTCTTTCATTGTGCGCAAGCGGAAAAGTTGAGGCAATTATTTGAAAATTAAATTATCCCTTGGTATTAGTGAACCTATATGCATATGATATGGCGCTTAAGAGTGAGTGACGTATTATATGGAGAAACGAATGAATGAAATGACATTTTGCCCATGTATGTGTACACCACACATTTGTGCATTTTGTTAAATGCGTGGTTTGCTTTTTACGCTTGAAATGTCATTTTCTTAGTATGGATATATGGGAGCATAAAATGCGAGAAATGTGTTTCAACTTTTTCCATTTCCTTTTAATGGTTTTCTACATGTATAGTGCAATGGGCAAAACATATTGAGACAAATAATATATTATTTGTTAAAACCCCACTTGCGCGTTTACTCTAATTGAATATGTTGGTTCTTGAATTCATTCCTCAATTATTTTATATTTCAATAATATTTATTTATCAAATAAATCGTATAATTTTATTTGCTTGAAATTTAGAAATAATTTAGAAATTATTGATTCGAATATTTTATTTGGAGGTAAAGAAAACTTATTTGGTTTTATTTGATAATGATCAAGTGTTGGGTTGTTGATATTATAAATAAATTTTTTTTTTTCAGTGTGATAGTTTGACCAGATTGAGATTTATTTTTCTTTTGAATTCATAAACTTGAAACAAAAAATATAGAATATGTAATGTGGATATAACGATATAAAAATAAAGGTTGAAGAAAAAGTGGGAGAATTCCCAGCAGAGGAAAGAGTAATTTCTTTTTTAACCCCTTGAGCGGCGTATGCAAAAAATTTTACAGCAGCAGGTCGAAAAATACAAATCAAAACATTGTATATATATTTGTTTATTTGAGAAGAAACAGATAAGACTTCTCTCGAAATTTTACCTTTCCTTTAATATATACATATACAATATTCTTTTCCAATATCACGAAAAACAGAAAGTAATCAACCGTTTTGATGATAAGATGAATACGTTTATATTTTACAAGATTATACAATAAACATAATATTAAATAAGAATTTAAAATAAAAAGGTAAAAATATGAAGACATTTAATTTTAATACACTGTTTTAAGTAAAATATGAGTGTTTCGTTTCTTTTAAATTCATGAAACGACTCTTAACCCATTTTTCATAGAAATGTAAAATAGAGAAAGAATATAATATATGAATCTTATTGTGAACGCGAGAAAAGAAGTTGAATCTCTCTCTTTCTATATGCAGAACGTGTGTGCGTGTATTTGGAAGAGACGTATATAAATCATCTGCTTCATTCATCATAATATTAGGAGGATTTTACAATATTGATAGTCAATAAAAAAGATGCAAAGGTCTCTTACAATTTCACCCTTTTCATATACATAAAAAGAAATATACATTTTTATACATACTTTTGGGGAAAACGTACCAATTAGTCTGCGATTCCCTACAGTCAAAAGAAATCTTTTTAATAACGAAAATCTGTCAATTACTGAGCGAAAAAATATTTAATAAAAAAAACTTTTTTTGGCGGTTTTTACGAACCAAAAGTTATGGTTTTCTCACAGAGGAATTATAAAATTAGGTTTAGAATTTAAAATCTTTTTTCACGAATAATGAATATTGTTTAAAAACAAAGAAACAAAAAGGAGAAAATGGTCTATAAACGAATTTAAAAGTTAAGACAGCAGGCGTCGCGCCTGATGGAAATAAAATTAGAAGCTTTCATTCAGTTTCCATGGACCAGAAATAACTTCTAATAGGGGATGAAACGAAGTTTAAAGATCGAGTTCTAACAAATTGCTTTTAAGAAGAAATCCCTACGGTTACATATATAATAATAATAATATAGTAAATTATATAATTTCTGTCTGAAAAAAGAATTAAAAAAAAAAAAAATTAACCGCAGACATTTAATAAAAATAAGAAAAGTTTACAAAACTATACTCTTTTATTAAATAGGAATATTTTTAGAGCTGAATATTTTTATTTTTGCACTGAAGGTTTTTCTTCTTGAAAATCACACTGATGTTAAATACTTTATTTTTGATTTCTTTTTCCAACAAAAGTGCTATTGACACACGTCTAAGGAAGATTTTCATACCTCTTTTGCGATGCACATTACACAATTCGTACTTAGCATATATACGTTGTATATGTTGGCAGTGTGATTTGACAAGTTTATTTCGAGAAAGTGACCTGGAATAATCGATCTTGCTTAAGTAAAATGACCCGTTCAACACAAAATTTACAATACTTAATTGTTTCTAACATGAGATTTTCTATTTCGTATAAAAAAATAAATTATAGTTTCTAAATAGGTATTAAATTTCAATTTTTTATTCTATTTGAAATCAGCAATTTTGGAAATTCGTTCATTTTCAAAAGCTGTCAATCAAATAGAATAAAGAATATTGTATTATTTATTCAATTTGTAATTTATATTTATAAATAAAATCGATTCTCACAAAATGTCATTGTAAATAATATAGCAAATAAATATTATCCAGAATTCAATCAAAAAGTATATAAAACAATTATTTCACAATTACTTTGCAAATTTATCACATTATGTATTTTTTTTGTTACAGGAGGACAGAGATTTTAATAGTGAAAAAATGCAGGAAACGATAAGGGAGACCCAAGCAAAAAATTGTCAACTCGGATTAAGCTTACTGCCCGGTAAGTAGATTTTTAAAATATATTTATATAAATATAATTAAATAAATATATTTTACTATAAAATATACTACTCTGCTTATTTCGAATTCAAAATAAAAATAATTTAATTGAAAATTTGAAAGAAAGACAAAAGATTTTTAATTGTCCAGAAAACTAAATTTTTCTCTTTGATAACAGAAAATACAATAATTAACCCCCTTGACACTTTCTCCTGTGTGCAATGCTTAAAAGTTTAATGTCCTGTGTGAAGAGAAAGCAATAAACGTGAAGATAAAATTATCATAAACGACACGTTTTATTACTATGCAAATTTTTACGGTTCGGATAAAATGACAAATTATCTTTTTCGTAAAATGAACAAGTATTAAATAAAATTTTGATTGCTTATTATAATATGAAAATATTTGTCATAATTAAATTACAAAAATTAATAAAATAAATCTAAATTTAAAAAATATTGAATAATAAGAATAAAATAAAATTAATTAAAATACAAAATTAAATTAATTTATTATCTTATTTATTCCGCGTGGTAAATTATAAATTGAACGATTAAAGTGGTTTTGCGGTAATTAATTATACTAAAGGATCGACGGTAATAGTTAATCAATAATAATTGCAGGATAAGTACAATAACCCTACAACGTTAGATTGTTCATAAACTATGCACAATAAGAGCAATCAAAATCTTGATTTTCAACTAATTTATAATTTAACAATGCTTTAACAATGAACTATTATTTACTTAAAAATTGAAAATAATTAAAAATACAAAATGCATATATAACTCTGAAATAAAAAAAAATGTAATTCGACAAATTAAATAAATTCACGCCTGTTTATCAGCATATTTGAATATAGCGTGACTCCAAGTATTCTGGATTATCTTTAACATATGATTGTAGGGTAACATTCGGGAATTACTGTATACGAACATCAGCAGGCAACGAGAGATAATGGCATTACACCCACTCGTGTGTGATATAGGATTAAAATCAGAATTTAATTTTCCTATTTTTAATGGTTTTTATTAAATAATTTACAAAAAGTTTTATTTTAAATTACTTAGAATAAAAAAAATAAGTTTAGAAATAAATCTGAAATTTTTATATGTTAATAAGCTGACAAAAATAAGGGGTAATGGGATATAGAGGGAACATTTTAATTTAATCAAAGTGGGAAGGCAAGTGAAGAACAAAGTCTCCCTGCCTTCTAAGTAGATGCAGCCAGATTTAGTCAGACATTTGAATACCTAAGCTCTCTTTCCCTCATCTACTCTCTCTCTCTCTCTCTCTCTCTCTCTCTCTCTCTCTCTCTCTCTCTCTCACAGTCTCACTCTCCTGATGAGAGATTTAATTAACTTTCTGTTTAATGCAACTTCACGATGATTTAATTTATTTACTCTTTAGCAATAACAAATAACATGCAAACTTTCCTATAAACTTTATCAACTAACCCTATCATTTATAATGTAAATTGTAAAGTTCATCCACTCGTTTAATATGTAAACTGCGTACACATAAATTAACAAACACTTACAGAAAAAATTTCCCAATAAACATTATTTATGCACGAACAATTCTTAATTTTCTACGATAATTATATAAAAAATATAAAATTATCCATTTAGTAAAAATTTATTTAAAAAAATTAGATGAATCGATTAATTATTTAATTCTTTGAATCTTAAAAAGGCAGATTTCGACTCTGTCATAAAAGACGAGATGCTATTGTTATCATTCGAGATTTAAATCATTTTGAATACAAATTGAAATTTTCACAGGTCAAATTATCCCCTTCGTGTAAAGTAATATTGTCTACATTTATCTCTGCAAAAGGAACATTAAACATTTGCATTAATTTACATAAATGAAAATTGTGCTGGACGATATTCAAAATGAACGTAAATTTAATACTATGTATATCTGGCTTTTATATATAGGGGATAAATGTTACAAAAACACGTATATAATTTGTAATGCAACTCTTTTCATCTCCCAAAATATAATTTCAACATTATAACGAACTATTGTTAAATTTGAATAAGTAAATTCTATGACTGAATTTATTATATTCACACCCATGATCCCAAAGTTCTAAATATGTTCAATTGAAGGAAATTTATTTCTTTTTCAAATTGATTAAATTTTCATCCACCTCTCTCTCACCCCATGTAATTTTATTTTAAAAAAATTCAATTTTACAAAAGAGAATATCTATTTTTCATAATTTAAAAAAAGTATTAAATTACGTAAAGGATATTTTAACATTTCTAAAATTGAATCAAAGGAAGAAATAAATATTTTTCAATGTTATTTTAAAGAAAATTCAATTTGAATTGAAAAAATTTCAAAACTTTCCTTTTCAACAAGCGGAAAATCTTATTCGTAAAATATAATAATGACATTTTGCATATGCTGGTGCATTCGAGCAAATGGAATGTCATCCACGGGTGGTTGTGGTTTCAATGAATTTCTATTCCTATTCAAACAGCATTACCCGAATCTCGTAAGATGAGACAGCTCTCTCTTAAGACCATTTCATCGTATAATAAAAGTTTATAATCAAATTTTCACTTGTTAATAATAATATTTAATCATTTTTAAATAAATTGTATCCACAAATGGAAATAAATTTTGCAATTATTAAGGAGTAAAAATTTTCAAAAAGAAGATTTCAAAGGAAAGAATAGAGCAGCAGAAAACAAGAAAAGTCTATAAATCCAGAAAATGTCAATACACATTTTTCATTGCATTCTTTGATGCATTTGAAAAATTCAATTTTGTATTCTGATATACTGCACTAATTGATTTCAAGTACTAGTGCTAGTAGGTTATAAATTACTCAGACTCTCGGATCTGTAAAACAAGATAGGTAACTAATGCTTTTAACCCGAGAGCGAAATTGAATTTTTATATTGGAGAATATGATAGAGACAGTTTGACTGTGACTAGAAAAAAAAAATAAATACATATTTTTCTTATATAAAAAAATACAATGAAGAAAAATTTATTTGATAATCAAATAAACCTATTATTTGTCTATTATCGCAATTAAATATTTACCTGAATCAAATGAATATTTTTTGTAATCCCCAATTTCGAATTGCGATAAATAATTGCAGATTTTTTTTGTAAAATCCTATTCCTGAATCCTGCAAGAAGAGAAAGAAATAAGAAAAAACTTAGTATTTAAATTTAAAAAAATTGTCAAACAAAGTAAAAAAAGAAGTCTTTTTTCATTATCTATATCATAAAAAAGTAATAAGAAATACCGAAGTAATTTATTTCACTGAAATTACAGGATGGTGTCCGCAGACATGGGATGAAATTCTCTGTTGGCCAACAACTGCTCCAAATGAATTGGCCGTTCAACCATGTCCACATTATATCGCAGGTTTCGATACAAGGGTATTTATCAATTTTTCTACTTCCTACTTCCAATGTGCGAAAAAAATGATCAATCACATTTTTATATAATATAAATTGTCAATAATAAAAAATTGACCATATCAAATAAATGAAAATAGTTTCAACGCCCACTTGAAATTTTTATTAAAAATAAATCATTTTTTTCCATTCACTCATTCATTTTATACTTTATTCAAAAATTAAATGTGAAAGGTATTTAAAGAAAATTGAGAGACTGAATGGAAAAATAATTATATCTTTTTGAAAAAAAGAGCGCGTGGGCGATATATTCGAATTAATGATTCTCTTTTGATTTTCAACATATGAGAAATTCATAATTAAATCTAATTATTTCACGATGACTTGGATTAATTCTGTTTTTTCTTTCAAAAGGGTAATGCAACCAGACAATGTTTATCAGATGGTCAATGGTACCGTACTGCAGAGACAAATAGTACATGGACAAATTATACTCAATGTTATCACACTTCACTTGTTACTGTATTAATGGACATTCCAGACGTTTCGACAGATAATGTCACACTAGCGCAAGTGAGTTTCATAATATATTTCTATCTTTGAGGGGGATTCAAATTTTCAAAAGAAATTTCTTTAGTCACTTGTTTCTGAAATAAAAAAGGCCAGGTCAGAAAAAAATGAGGCTAAGTTCACAATGTGAATGTTTGGCAATAATTGGCACATTTGGCACTGTTTGGCACCTTTACTAATAAGGAAAAATATTTTTCGTATTTTTTGTGTGGACATAAATAAATTTTCATGTATTTCAAAAAAATAAATGGGTTAGTAAATAAAATAACGTATTACACTATGTGATATGCAATTAAAACTACATATATACACTGTATAATATATAGCAAGTAGTTCCAAAGCACTTTTTCTTCAGGATTCATATAAAATCCGTCAGACCCAAGATGAGTTGGGTGACACAGTTTGCATGGCGTTTCAACAAATTTATTATTCTCCTTAGCGAGTTTATTATAAAAAACGTGGATATTCTACAATCTGTTGGATATATATACGTAATTTTTTCCCCTATTTTAGCATCTATAAAGAAACGAATAAAAATAAAAATGAAAAGATATACTAAAAAGTATGCTATACATTTATATTTAAAGTGATGATATATATAAAATGAATAAGAGGTAGAAGAGAAGGTAAAAATAAAAATTTATATATGGAAAATATTGTGAACCGCGTTGAATAACCTCTTATTCTCTACTTTCCCGCATATTTTAAAAGCATTATAAATATGTTATAAATACATGGGTACCACTCAAATAATGTTACAATACTTAAAAATAAAATAAAAATTTAGTGAAAATTAATACTATAAAAGAACGAAAAAATGCTTGAAGGCAATTAACAGTGAAAATATAAAAACGTCGTCATGAATCTCCATTCTCGTTAAATTTTTTTCGAATATTTCTATTTTATTTTTCAAATATTTTTAACTCTATTTTAATTATAAAAAAGAGAAAAATATACATATTTTCCATTTCGGATAAATTTCAACCATCGCCGTAAAATAAAAACCATTTATTACCATGAAAAAAATGTATTTAATTCAAAAAATCAATTATCAGACTAATTAAAAATAAAAATAAATATTTGAAAACCTCCACGAAATAACGATGGCACAATTAAAGGCTTTTAATTTTCAACTTTGATTTGCCACAGATTCCAAGTATATACATTAAAGTATATACATTAAAAATTCAATAAACTTTATACATATTTAATTTTACTACATCATTCATTCGCAATAATATTTCTCGATAATGGATATACCGAAAGAAAATAATTTCAATCGAATAAATTTCTGAATTCTTTTTTAAAGAGGTTTAAAAATTACGATCAACATGAAGCAAGTGTGCGGCGATAAATTAAAAAAAAATACCGCATTCCCCGTGAATATAATATAAATTATATGATTACATTAGAACTCTAGGTTTTTACGTTCTTGTAAAAAGTTTTTTTCGGGGTAGATGAGAAGTTTGAGAGATAAAGGGGGGAGAGGGGGCAAAAAGAATCTTCAACTGCGCTAGAGATTTGTCTCAATGGAATAACATTCATTTGTTCCTTTTTGCCTCGACAACTCATCCTCGGTTAGTATGCAGTTAATCGAGTGTAAGAGCAAATGCGAAAACGTACGTGCCAGATATTTTTTGAATTTATATGCCAGCTAAATGTGTGCTCATACAGATCTATAAGTATATACACATACAGAGAGAGAGAGAAGTATATATAAACAGAATCCCGAGTCCTGAAACATTGCTGTTATTTTTACATAAATCACAATTATATTCAACTCCAGTTTTAAAGTTTGGAAAATAAAAAATAATTATTCATTGATCAAATTTTTTCAAAATTTCACTTTTATTGAAAATATTCCATTTATTCATTTCTGATAATATTTCCCTAAAATGTTCGGAAAAAAACTTTTGAAAAAATACCCCTGTAATTATTTTTATAAAATATAATTTGTAAAATGCAGAAATAAAAATTTTACAGAGAGATATTTTTTATAAGATTCTAAAGAAATAATTGAGAGGAAAAAGAAGAAAAAAGAACATTCTTTCACATAATTAAATCAAAAATTTCTATTTGACCTTTTGTCTTTTATATATGAAAAAAAAAGAAAGAACCATTTCTCAGAAAATGTCAAATTATTAAATTCTATTTTACGAAACTGGATACTAAAAGAGTTCATAAATTCTTTTTTTTTTTTTATATATATATATATATATATGAAAGCAAGTCAACATTTTCTTTCATTATTTTTGATCCTTTGCCTTTCTTTCAGGATAAACTTGTTTTAGTTAGAGAGACTTTATTTAAAAAAAAAAAATCATCCCCACAATTTTGTACGCGAAATAAATTGCTTGAAGATCCGAACGTTCAATGCACGAAAAAAGCCAAAACTACGAAATAATGGGCTAAATTTAGAACAACTTTCAAATTGATTTGATTCAAATTATTTGAATCAAATAATTTTTTTTTCAGTATAATTATTTATTTATTGATAATATGTATACAAAAAAATGTAATAAACATTTTTGAAAAATTATTAAATAAATAGGATCTATCGAGGAAGGAAAAATGTATCAAATTTTGCTTCCACATTAAAGAGCCATTATTCTTTAATATAAGAAAAAGGGAAAATTGATAAATTTCACCATCGATTCTTTTATACATGTCTTCGTATATATAAAGTAGAAAATAAGAGAAAAATAAGAGATTAAAAGTACAAGTTTTTCTAGATAATACTACTTGGAAAACTACGACATGTTGTCGTCAGAAAGTTATTGGATACAAACGCTTACAGGAAAATTCTGGAAAAAGACATTTTTAGTCTCTTTGCAACTTTTTATTTTATTTTATTCTTTTAAAGAAAAGCCTGACATATTTATTCTTCTATTATTTCAAGCAAAAATTATATTAATTACATATATTATGTTCGTCTAAAAGTATTAATCTAATTTTGAATTTTAAAAAAGTATTGTTTTTTTCTGAAAAACATTCCTCAGAGAAAATTGTGGTGTATTCTTTTAACACCAAAATAGATTAAAATAATCTTCAATCCATCAAGGATTTAACTAATCCTTCAAAGGATTATTTTTTCAAAATGTTTTAAAAATGATTTGTTTTTGATTCAGATAATTCAAAAATTTAATTTTATCTTCTTTGGTAAAAAGAGCTGTAACGCTTTTTAATACCTTTTAGTTTACTCTGCTAAAAATATTGTAAGATCATAATAAATAATCGTTTAGTAATCACTTATTAGCAAATTTTTCATTAAAAAAAATATTTTCCAAACTTTGAAAATTCAAATAATTTTTCTTCAATTTACAGAAATATCTACCAATTGTAAAAGCAATTTCAAAAGCAGGATACGCTGTGTCCTTTTCTACCTTAGTTGTCGCATTTTGCATCTTGGCAGCTATCAAGTAAGTATATTAATAATAATAAGTTTTCTCAATTTTAATTTGTTTCGCTTATTTATTTTCATTTTTTTATCATTTTATTTAAATATAAATAAATTTTCTAAAAACGTACTATTCCTTTCTTTTTAAAAAATCGAATTTGAAATATAAAGTTTAAGAATCAGAATAGTTACAATTACAGAAAAGAAATTGTGTACGAAAATAAAGAAGAAAATTTAAATGGATCAAAGTCAAAATATTGATCGAACGTTTGACATTTTATCAAATGGGCCGAGTTAATTGTGAAATAAAAAGAAAAAAAAATAGGAAGTGTTGAATGCTTTGGTAGAAAGAAGAGTTATGTGCTAGCCGAGGTCCTACATTCCAATTGACTATAGAAATACGTGCTACTAATAAGAATCCTTAACTTCTATTTCGATAAAAAATAACGTGTACCTAAATCTCACTTTTAAAATTCCCTTTTTTCAAATTTCCTCAATATACCACAATATTGTTCTCTAATATCTCAATTACTTTTTTTTAAATATAAACGAAAAATTCAATTTATAAAACTGTAAAAATAATTTCTCCAATTTATCTTCTTTTTGTTGAAATTACAATTTCAGAATGCAATGTAAACTAACATCAATATTCATTTTAATTGGAAACCTAAAACCGCGAATAGAACAAGGAAATATCAAAAGTGAATAGAGAAAATAAATTCAAGATTTTCTTATTTTTATAATTAATTAGAGTTTGCGTACTTTAAAAATTTAAAAGAGAGTTAAAAAAGAGATCCATAGAAAAGAAAAGTAAATAGTTGGATAAAAATGTAATTTTAATTTTTGTACTCGCGAGAAATTTCAAGTGTTATACTTTATTGGACATAGGAAGCTGAGATGTCCAAGGAATATTCTACACATTCACCTTTTCGCATCGTTCATGGCAAGAGCATTTATGGCCCTATTAAAGGACATGCTTTTCGTTTCTGGAATTAGTTTGGCGTCCGATATTCTAGTCAAGGATGGTGAAGAGTATTTAAAATCCGATTTAATGTCATGTAAAGTTATCGTCAGCTTTTGGCAATATTTTATTCTAGCCAATTATTCTTGGATTCTCATCGAGGGACTCTATCTTCACAATCTCGTGTTTCTAGCATTATTCACCGACTCGAATTCCAGTATCACCGGGTACATTGCTCTTGGATGGGGTAATTTTTTCTTTTTTTGCAAAATATCAATTACGAAAATTTTTAATTATTCCCCCACTTTCAATACTACTAATGTTACACTTCTGTATATAAAAATTTCAAATGTAGTGTATTTGTTTTTAATTTAATTTAATTATTTTAATGTTTAATTTGTGTAATAGATTTTGTGACGAAATATGTAATTAAAAATCCCCAATATTAGGTAGTTAAATGTTAATCTAATAAGATTTAAAGTAAATAAATTCTTTTCAGGAATGCCGGCAATTTTCGTAATACCTTGGATTATTTTACGAGCAGTTTTCGATGACACTTTGTGTTGGACAACTAATGATAATGAGTATTTGTTTCTAGTCATACGAGTGCCTACGATGCTCTCAATTTTGGTGAGTCTAATCGTTAAATTATCGATAGAAAATAATTTCCTAGACAATTAATTTAAATTAACAAAATTGCCTACTATTTGTTTTAGATAAATTTTGTACTTTTCGTCAATATCGTCCGAGTGCTTCTTTCGAAATTAAAGTCAACAGTTTCCGAAGAAACTCAAAGATACAAGTCAGTAATTAGTCAGTAATTAGTCAATAATTAATAAAATTAATTTAAATTTGAATTTAAAAATTTCAAGAAATTAATTATTTATGATTATAAATTTGAAAAGAAAATAATTTTTATCCTCACAGACGATGGGCAAGAAGTACTCTAGTTTTAGTTCCACTTTTCGGAGTTCATTATACCGTATTTTTGGGCATGTCATATTGCATAGGTGTCAATCAAACTGTCGAGCTTGTGTGGCTTTTCTGTGATCAATTCTTTGCCTCCTTTCAAGTAAGAATTTCTTAAATTTTGTCAAATTTTTCCCTTTGATAAAAGTGAAAAATAAGAACATTAGTTGTAAAAATGTTTGTTTTTTAAAAATGAATTTTTTTTTTTTCCAAAGGGTTTCTTCGTTGCGGTTTTGTACTGTTTCATGAATGGCGAGGTGCGAATGGAAGTTTCTCGTGTTCTAAGGAGCCGAAAGTGGCCCCGATTACGCAGCGGCCGATGGGGTCAAAGACATTCAACACATTCCGGAAGTACTTGCAGTTGTAACGCAAGTAAATTGCGAAAATCAAGTAAAACGAGATGGTGGCACAAACCTTGCAGTTGCATTTTCCGTGAGCACGATTTTCATCATCGTTCATCTCACTCGATGGCGAGTACACAAGGTGTCTCTTTGATCCTTCAAAAAAAACTATCCTCAATTTTCGAAATTTCCTCTCAGTCGAACGATTTCTGGGAGAAACGGTGTCGTATCTTTGTTTCACACATCTTTTATGCACAATCCTTCACGGCCTGAAATTTGCAAAATATTCTTACTAATTCTCATTCCTTTTCACTATTTTCAATATTAATTATCCTAATATGTATTTTAATAATGACTTGATTAATATTTACCCTGGAAGTTCTTCTGCATGGAATTTCGTTTTCTGAAAATAAAAAAGAAATATTAATACCACCGAATGATAAATGAAACCTAATGTGTAATATTTATACTGACCTGCAGATGTTGGACTTGGGACGCGCGGTGGCAGTTTAACAAGTAGTCGGGGTTACATTGAAGGTGCTGGAAATGGTCCATGTTCAGGCGCCGGAAATTGTGTCCAAAATGCAAATCACACATCGCCATTGTGCAGCAAATACACGGACCAGTCGTTGCTCTCATTCTGCTCAAATGTACGTCATCTTGTTGAAAAGAAAAAATCTAAATAACCTTTATTTAAAAAAAATTGTTTCATTACAATAAAAGGATAATAGAAACATAATAGTCAATTAAGTTTAATTACGAAAATCGATTAATAAAAAATCTGCTGAAAAGAAGTATAAAAAATCAATAGTTTACAAACGAATTCTTTCTTTTATAAAAGAAAAATATTTTGCATCAGTGATTATTTGAGGGCTATTAAATTGAAAAATAAAAAGAATCCCAACCTTTCTGCAATCAAAAATACTATTGATCACAAATTGATGTCCTTTCTATGAGTGTCAATATCAGCCGATAAATTCTCAAACAAAATGGTTCAATCAATCTATTTCAACTTGTGAAAAGAGATTAAATTGAATTCACCTAATAACATTGATTTCACGAAATCTTCAAACAATTATTTCAAAAAAGAAAAATATTAAGTAAAACGAGTTCAAAAATTAATTTCATTAATAAATAAATAACAAAAAAATAATATAAATAAATAATTTTCCAGATGTCGGAAATGTCGACGAGCGCCGCAATTTCCGCCCTCGAGAAAGGGGAGAGAATTCGAGAACAGCACCGCTGGAGTGATTCGGAATGTTGTCAACTTGCTTACGAGCTGCATAGTTTGCAGCAACCACCACAGTCCTGATTTTTACTTTTATCACAACACAAAAAGGCGCACTAAAATTTAAAAATCTGCTTAACCGTTTATGAATGTTGAAAGATAAACAAAGCTTTTCTTTTTTATATGTGACGAATATTTAATAGTAAATAATGTATTTGGTATTAAATAAGATATGTTTGATATTTAATATTATTGTCACGTGGAGAGAACCATCTCTCCCTCCAATTATAAATAATCAAACACTGACTGAATCAAAAGTGAAATTGAGATTTATAAAGCTTTAGTCGTGTCATCCAGTGAGTGTTCACAAAAAAAAAAAAAAAAAATATTTAACGCTAGCAAAAAAACAGAATTATAGCTTTCATTTTCGTTTCTCTTTTTTTTCTTCTTTTTTATTTTTAAAGGTTTTTACAATTAAATGCATGAACCTTATCATTGTACATAGTATCATTTGTTTTCACCGTCAAAAACAAATTAATGTAAGACTCAGAACAAAAGAAAAAACGTACCTTGAAAGCTCTCTATTATATGTACTTATATGTTACGATTGTGAATTGTAAATGTTTCTTATACAGCGGTAGCCAAATTAAGTACGTATTGTGCATTGAAATAAAAAGAATTTTATGTCATCAAATTGTTTTTACTCTAATTAATCAAATTCATTAACCATCAATTATTCAAAAACAAAGTAATCAATCAAATCAATTTTAAATGGAATTTTACAAAATTTTTAAAAATTAATTAAAATTACATAAATAAAAAATGTAACTTTTTTAAATGATTGAGAGTTTGAAACTTTTATTGAAAAAATAAATAAAAAGTTTTGCTTACGAATTGAAATTAAAAAAATTGAAAAATATTTTCATTTTTTTCAATTGCGACTATTTTTTCAATAACTAAGCTGGTTCTTTATTTTCACTGCCGAACAACGATAAGATGCCACCGTCTTTTTTGATTTTATCGTATTTTGCTTGGTTTATTATAACACTGTTGACTATTTGATTAGCAGTATGAGTCTGGCCGTAGTAGTCCAAAAACAGGCCATCGGGATCCACCAAATAAATAATTATCGTGTGGTCAACCTGGAAAATTAAAATTTTATAAAATTATACCGGGAGTAATTATTTCTTTTTGTAAATAAAGAATTAAAAGTAATAAAAATAGAAATAAAACTTTCTTAGCACTAGAGATCTATTTATAAATAAGTACTAACAATATAGTCATTATCCACATCCTTTGGACCGTTACTATAATAAACTCTGTAGGCTTTACAAACTTTATCGACTTGTTCTTTGGTGCCAGTGAGGCCTAGTAGTTTACTCGAAAATTCTTTTGTATATTTGTCAACTAGTTCTGGCGTATCTCTGTCAGGATCAACGGAAATAAATATCGGCTGAACCTCCAATTTGTGTTTATCCTCTGAAAACAGTCAACAAATTAATACAATATAAATGAATTAATAAAATATAAATAAATTAATAAAATATGAATGAATAAATACAATATAAATAAATTAATATAATATAAATTAATTAATTATAGACGTACCCAATGTATCGACAATTAATGCCAATTTTTCGAGTTCTTCAGGACAAATATCAGGGCAATGTGTAAATCCAAAGTAAATTAACATCCATTTGCCGAGAAAATCTGTTGATTTCACTAATTTTCCTGAAGAATCTACAAGTTCAAATGTTCCTCCAATTTGTGCTTTTCCAATAGTTCGTCTTCTTTCCCGTTCTATTCGTATATCTTTTTCGTTCTTCAATTTATACATATAACCCAAAAAACCACCACCAATTACCACTCCAGCAACAACTGATTTCCAAGTGATTAACTTTATCTTATATTCCTCTGTACTTTTTGATGTTTTTTGGAATAATGCTCTGCTTGTATTTACTTGCCTTGTCTAGAATAATTAAACAATATTTCAATTCAAAAGTTTATAATTACGTAATTATTACTGGACAATCAAAATAAAAATAAAATTATCAAACGTTTGTTTGTTTTCATAAAAAGACAATTAGCAAACCTGTTGTAGAATTCGTGGCGAACATCGTTGTGACAGAAAAACTGAACGTAAAATAGGAATTGACATTCTTTAATTGTTTATTACTTCAATGCAATAGTGAAAATTGTTTAGAAATCTCGGATTCTCGAATTTTTAGGTTATATTTTCCAGTTTTACATAACCTTCATCTTATTTCCTGTGAACAATAATTAGGATGACTGTAAGAAAGAATGTATGAAAACAACGAAATTAAATTTCGTTCTATACCTTTTGTTATTATTTTAATGATTGAGATAATCACGAAATATAAAACGATAATATTAACACTGTAATTAGCGGCACTTCGTCAACTTCCGACTTCGTTACTGATTATTCGGCAAAGTTCGGCAATCACGTGTGAAATCTTCGTCACAGTTCGCGTACTTTCGGACACCTTCGGAAGAATTCGGAATTATGGTTAGGTCACCTGCCAAACTCACGTGGTTGTGTTTATGTAAATAACGCGAATTCACATGACTTTAAGTAATTAAATAAATAATTAACAAGTTGTTTCCAAGTGAGTTCGAACAGGTCGTTAATAAATAATTATTTACAATGAATGCAAAAGTTTCAATAAAGTTTCTACTTATTTAAATACTTTTATTTAAAAACATTTTCTGCTTTTGTCAACAACATTATTTGTATGTTATTTTAAAGTAAAGTAATATTAATCACTGTTTTACGAAACACAATTACCGTTTCGCAATATTAAATCTTGTTCGACATTTTCTACGGCAGTATTCCATACGCAAGACTCCCACCTGTAAGAAAAAAAATTGTGATCAAGATAAATGTAGCATTTTGAACGTCTTGAACGTCTCAAACAAACTACCTATTGCCTCTTCGGTTTTCAATATAAATTTTATTAACAAATATCGTATGACCCACAGGTTCCGCTGTAGTAGTATTATTATTCTCAGCTTCGTCCGTTTCAGGCTTGTACCACATTTTTCCATTTATTTCACTAGTGCTCTTTGAAATTGATTGAAATTTAGTCGCTGCAATATTTGCGAAATTAAACGTTTGATTCCTTCTGCCAAAATTGCTAAAACAAATAGAAGCGCAAAACGCCTTCCTGTAGTTTAAAGAAAAACTAAATTTAAATTATTATTATTAACAATATTATGAAAAAGTGAAAAAAGAAAAAAAAACATTTTCATCTAGTAGTATAAAATATAGAAATGAATAAACTTGAATGGCTCACTCGCACGGTATCTTAAATAGCGTCGACGAATTTCCGTGTTCAATTTTCAAAAATAGAGATCCCCTAGTCCTCGGTGTTCCTTGGATCGTCTCGACAATGGCTCGGAACGGTTCACCTAAAAATGTGTCCCTCATGTTTGACACAAGCGTCAATGTTGACATCAGTACCTCCTCAAGAGATTTAATTATACTTTTTTTTATAAATCATAGATATTTTGAAAAAATTCCAAACCATAATTCTCGTTATTAATGGAATTGATTAATTATCATCGAATACCGCAGAATGGTTCTTCATCCCTGGTAACCAAGTAATAAACGCCCATGGGACCGTGGTCAGCCGCATATCCCATTTCCTGTATCCACTCAGTTCCCAATGGTGGAAAACAACTTCCTACGGCAAATGATATTCCCCCCTTTCTGCACGGCCACGCTGTCAATTTGCATTCTCCTTTTTGACTCTCGAGACTCGCGACAAAAAGTTGCCAGGCTCTCACATGACTGCACGCAATATTTCCATCGAGGAAGTCCTCTGTGGCGGAAAATAATTAAATTAGTAAAATACGAATCTAAAGAAGATGTAATCAACATTTGTAGAATTTCTGTCTTTTTTGTCTTCTTCCTTTTTCTGTCTCACCATTCAGATGACTGACGACAACAGAATTTTTCACATCGCTACAACCGGGCTGTTCCCTGCCTCCATTCGGGAAGAAGTCAATATGTCCGATTGGTTTCAAAAGACCGAATCCATCGGCAAAATCTTTCGAGCCGTCAGTGTGGATCACGTCGACGAGATCGGCGTCGGACGAATCGAGTTTTCTTGCTCTTTCCCTCAGAAGATGGGTTCTAAATAGTGGCGAAGCAGGATCCAGGCCCGTGATGCGACCAAGTAAAATATTCCGTTTTTTCAAAATTTCCGAAGCACAGCCGGCCACGTGAGCTCCTAAACTGAAACCAACGACGTGAATTTTTTTCGGATTCGTTCCACTGTTGAGAACGTCCAACAAAATCAGAGCGAGTTGCCGACCAACCAATTCGGTATTCGCCACGGCCGTACTGTACGAAGCTCCCGCGCCTTTCGTCCAGTCGAGAAGAATAACATTCGTGTCCTCCTGCAAAAATAATCAGCGTTTGTCAATTTTTACTTTTAGTTTACTCATCTGCAAAAAGCAGATGCTAATTTTATCTATTTTACTTATGTAAATAAAAGCAGAAACGTTTTACCAAATCGAGAAGGAGGAGGGCTCCCTTTATAGCACCGGAATCACTCCCACTGCCCTTGTAACCGTGGATTACAATTTTCAGTCCCTTTGTGGCATTATATCTCGACTTACGAATCGATTGTCCCTTATCGCCATAATTAATGATTTCCGGATTGTTCCTCTCCTCGCGGGTGTACAACAAGAATCGAGTTTTTATTTCATTTGGATGCTGCGGTGGTCGCTTCAAACTTAAATATTGCGGTGGATCGGCAAAACATCCGACCAAGTCTGTTGAGACGAAAAATCAATAATATATATTAATAATTAATCAATAATTTTCTTTTTAAAATAATTTGAAATTTTTTTTTCTATTTGTTAATTCACTCACCAAAACACACTTTCGGAGCATTTTCTTCCCGAACTGCCAATCTTCTCTGAATCATGCGATTTCTTCTCTCTATAAGCCTTTCTGAAAAGCAAATAAGCCCCAGACAATCGATTAATAAATAATAACAATGAATAATTTAATAAAATGATAATAATAAATAATTTAACAAAATAATAATAAATAATATTAATAAATAATTGACCATAAAATAATTTTAACACAGAAAAAAAAATTGTTTCCTTAATACTCACGCTTGTACTGAATTCCATTACAATGGAGAATATGAGGAAAAATAAAAATTGAAATGAAAATTAAACTATATTTTCCGATCATGATTAATATGTGGAAATTCGTCGATGAGATCGTTGCACATTGCCATAACCTGGTGAAGGCGACAGCAAAACTATACTGATCATATGTGAACTGCAGTCGCCAGGTTTGAAATTCTTTTTCCTCTCCTGCCTCAAATAGCAATAGAGCCTTTCTCTTCATCTTCTCTTTTCTCACTTTCTTCCACTAGAAATTCCGCAGTCCGCTAAAAAATTTTTCTTCAAAATTTATTCATAAATTTTCTAATGACAAAAAGAAAAACAAAATTTTCAAATTTAAATAATTTAAAAAAAAATTTTTTTTGTAAAAATATACGAAAAAAAATACAACGAATTTTTCCCCACGAGTCTCTCATAAAAGGAAATATTTAATAATGAAATAGCAACGATAATTTACTATGGAAAAATATAAATACTCCTTTTAGTTTTTGCTATTGCTTAATAATTGCCACTGACAAATATTTATATACCTTTGTCTCCATTGTAGTTTTCTTTCAATAAATATTTTTTGCAAATAGACACTTTCGCCTGTCGCAACCTCAAAGTTCCCGCATTTGATGATGCAATTTTAATGTGACGAGTTCACTATACCTATTAATAATGATAATTTAGAAGCCCATTATATTGTCAGTGACTTTCACCTACCTCGCGGAAATTATTTTCGACTTAATAAAAAATAATTTACCGCAAAACAATAATTTATCAAAAAAAAAAACAAAAGGTCCACTTTTACCAAAATTCAAAAAAAGAAACATTTCCTGATCATTGCGAATTTTATTTAATTACTATCTTTTCCTTTACTAAAATTAATTAAAATTATCTATAGCGATATTTTCTCGATATGTTAAAACGGTATTAAAATAGATTGCCCCACATATTATATATTACTATTAAATAATACAATCAATTAGCAATTTTGTAATCAAATATAAAAACTAGTTTATCTGAAAGGAGATCAAATTAATAAAAAAAATCCAGCAGATCTAGTTTGAAATTGCAGTTACTCAATGATTCGTAAACGGTACATCGTTATATAAATCTATTAGCAGATAAATTAAACATTTAATAAATATTTTCTTATACACTAATAGACTAATGGAGCAAATACCATTTGGAAGCAATAAAACCAGAAAAAAAACTCCCCATAAAATAATACATTTTTTAAATTCTCTCTAGGAAATATCTTCTCAAACCCAAAATCATCGAGAGACAATTTTTTTTGGTGAAAGAAAATTTGAAAAAATTTTTAATAAATTCTTTATTAAACCAAGACTTTGCCTACGGAACTATTTTACATTGATCGCATAAATATCGAACGCATCACTGACGTTTCATATATATATTTATATATATTAAACGAAAAATTGAAGCTTGAAAAACAGTACATTTCTTAAAATGACATCAAATTGAAGATTTTTTTTTTATTCGAATCGTTCAAGCACGCAAGCACGATTCAAAAAGTGTTCACCACTCTCGATTTAAAAGCTTCGTGCGCATAATTTTATTTCGTTTTTCCACTTTTTTTTTTAATATTTCAAACACGCCATAAGTGTTTCATTTCCTCATATTGTATATTTATTTATTTATTTATTTATATATATATATATATATATTTATATATATTTGCTCCAAGAGATAAAACGCTCAAAAACCGCGATGGAAGATCAATGAAAAAAAAGGAAAAAAAATTGGAGAACAAAAAAAGGAGCAACGAGGTTCTTTTTTTTTGTCGAGGCGTGTACTTATAACATATTTATTTGCAATATTTTTTTTTAGCAATATACTGATCCTTATTGTAGACATATATTTATATCGTATGGCAGCATAGTATTATGACATTGTATAATATAGGTGAGGTGACTGATAGAATGATTCATTTTCTTCCTCATCTCTTTGAGACGAGTTTTTATTTTATCATTAATTATGATAAAAATAATAATAATTCTCTCCTTTCTTCGTTTCACACATTTTAAATAACGTTTCTTGTAGGTCTTATAGCAAAGAGATATTTTGCCATAAAAATATTCTTTTGCTGTAAAAATTACTTCTTTTGTGTAATATCGTTATAATTTTCAAGCGTTCCGTTGAAAACGAGGAAATGATAATCAATATAAACGGTGCATCATGACTCTCTCTCTCTCTGTCTTTCACACACATCTTTCTCTATAACTTGATTAACTCGTCAATTATATTTATTTATTTTTTTTTTTGCTTTTTTTATTTAATAGCTAATGCATTCTTTCTAGAAAAAAAGGAAAAAAATTGCGAAGAAGTGGTCGCGAGATTGTACCGATCGCTTGATAATTGATATACAGAATCGACAATAATTATTACACTTGTTTATTATAACAATTACTCCCGTCAATCTTGTCCATTGTTCTAGTTAAAATATTCAATATATATATACTATAAATATTCTCTAATAACGATAATGCAACGTCATTAATTTATTATTACAATTTGCAACTTAGAAAAATAGTCCTGGCACTCCGTGACCATGTCTCGCGGTTAGCTTTCTTTTTTTCTTCTTTCTCTTTTATTCACATTCGAAAATGCGCTAATACATATATTTATTATACATATCATATCGTTCTACAATATTATAATAGGATTTTGATTTCTCAAAATCGGAACCATCGAATTGACTAGTTTTCAATACCGTCATCATTATGGATAGTGACGAATAAATAAATAATTAAAAAATAATTTTCTTTTTTAATTCAATTTTTAATTATGGAAAAACTATTATAGAAATAATTTTTATATTTTTGTTTCTGAAAAATTAAAATTCCTTTGGAAAACAAAATACTTTTTTGGACTTAGAATGAGAATAAAATGTAAAAAAATATATTGAAATTTTATAAAAATTGACAAATAAAAATTAATGTTTAGCTAAAAAATTATTTTCCTAAATTAATAATCTCACTTTGTGCAATTACACGCTGTGTTTCATAAAAAATTGTACAACTGTAGCACCGTTTTTTCAAGTCAATCCATGCATTATTTTATTAAAATATATTAAAACTATTAATAAAATAAAATCAAAATGTTGAAACAAGAAAAAAATTATTTCAATCTTCAAGATTTAAATTCTCAATCGAAAATTTCAGAATGAAATCCCCTAAAATTTTTTTATCGAAAACCAGAAGGAAATTTCGAAATTCACTGAATATTAAAAATATTAAGTTTCACGAGAAAAGGCAAAGATTATTATCTTTAATTGAAAAAAAATTAACTACCTATTAATAAATAAAAATTTTGAAAGACAAATTTTATAAATACCCTAATTTTTGATTTACTTTTTTTAGCTTTAACAGACTCAAAATCATTTTTTAAAAATAAATATTCCCATTATATAATAGTTAAATGAGAAAAAATTCTTTTTGTACAATTAACTAATTTCTCACTATAATTAAAAATCTTTCTATACATTTTTTTCTATATATAACAACAAGTATTTATTTACAAAAATATATAACATTAATACTAATTTCAAATAAGAAAATAATGTACAAAAAATTACATCAAAGATAAAAGCAAAAATTTTAATAATTTTAATTAATTTAAGTAATTATTTTTGAAATTTCAAGAAACTGTTTTTTTAAGGATGGGAATTAAAAACCATATTTTTTTTATCATCATGTTAATATTTTATTTCCCACTATAGGGAGAAAAAGATATTTTCAATTATTGAACTTTGCTTTTTTTAATTAATTTAAAATTACTTTATCATTTATTTAGATATAAATATTCTCTAAATCTTCATTGGGAAAAATTGATCCACTAATTTTTAGTAAAATATTACTAGTTTCCTTAGTATTTCCAATTTTTCACTAATTCAAGTTTAGAAGGCAATAAATAAAATGAAAATCAACTGAATAATTAATATTTCAAGGAATAATAAAACGAGAACAGATCCGATCATTTTGATTATAGAAACACTTTTTCATTGTTTAGTATTTATTAATAAATAATTATATAACTCTAAAAAACAATGAAAATAAATAAAGAATAAAAAATAATTTTCACTACCGATCCGACAACTTACAATCGCGTCACACGAGACGTGGAAACGGCATTAATAAAATCTATTATTAAAAACAATTAACGAAACAACAGTAGTACTACCCTTTTTTTAAAAGTTTCACGCGCTACTATTATTAATTATCTAATATTGATTTGTATCGATTAATACCATTTTCTTTTTAAATCCTCCTATGCAAATCCTCTTTTTCTTTGATGCAATTGACGCTCTTTTTTTAAATTCATTCATTCTGTTTTTTTTAGTTTTTTTCAGGGTTTTGTATTGAAAACCCCTATTATCTCTCTCTATATCATTTACCCAAAAAATTCTCTATTATATATAGAATTACACACTCAACTCAATGCATTTATAAGCATTGCTTTCGTATATGACTTTGTTTCAAAAAACAAAAAAAAGCGATCGGTAAATCAGAGCGTACATTTCCTCGATATTGATATATAATATATATATATTTATAATTTATATAATATGCACTACTATGATAATTTTTAGACTCTACAGGTGATAGCATCAACTTTTTTCATCGCGTTTTAATTAAAGAAAAGTCAATCAAAATTTTCTAAATAATTTACTATAATGTATATATGAAAAAAATGAGAGAATCATGGATTTTCATTACCTAACATGATACGTCGCATGTATAAATACTGATAGAGATATACTTGCCTGCCGGTACACCATCTATTTTTGTTTTCATATTAATATATCAATATTTATATTTATATATATATACCTTTTTTAGTATTTATATATTTATACTTAGAATTTTCAATTCTCGAGCGATCCGATCGCCTAGCGTCTTGCCTATTTTATTTTTATAACCCACTCAATGTACATTAATATTTTATTCTATGGCTAATTCCATACAGATTCATTCTTCTTCCTTTTTGGTATCATTGACACAAGATGCAATTTTTTTCCACCATCAATTGCAAATATAATGCCATTTTTCTTGTTACAATAATTTTAGTTACAACAGGAGAAATTTTCAATCGAAGAAAACTCTCTATCAGGTTCTATTGTCGAAAAATGAAAAAGTTGGATAGAAACTAAGT